TTTTATTTTTTACAGCACCTATCAGCGTTCTCGGACGAACCGAGCAGGCAGAAACATGAAAAATGACCTTCAAATATTTCCCGACTCTTGGTACAGTCCCAGTAGTAGCTGCGTTTTGAGAAGAAGGCAGGTTTTTGTCCGGTTTCTTCCAAAGTAACAAAAGAATGCACCTCCCGCGTGGTTACTTCCGCCCACAGCCCAGACTGGAAGTGCGCCCGACGCGCCACCACCGCGCCGGACATAACAGAGCTGAGTTTGTGCATTTAGCATATATTTATGCAGGGTGCTCAAAATAATTAAGATTTAGATTTCTAGTAGATTTATAGAATGCATGACATAGTCAGACTGAATACGAAAGTACCACTATTGGCATTTTATTTTATACTGTTTACAACAATAAATGTCTTATAAACCCACTCCGGGAATACCAAAATTCAAACATACATGTGTAAACATTCTTTTTTATATATATATATATATATATATTTTTTTTTTTGAAAGTTAAGTATTCGGGTGATAATAGTAAGCGCAGACTCTCTTGGCTGGCTAATGTCTAAAACGCCGCAACATTTTTAAGGCGTTAGCTGGCCACATTTGATGTCACGAGATATGTAATCATATTTACATAAAAACTCCTCAATTTTTTTTGTGTGAACACAGCAGTTAGTTTTTATACAAGTTTTATTAAAAAGTCTGATAGAGTAAAAGCATGTTTATGCAATTTCTCACGTGGTGTGTCTCTCTTAACGAGCATTAAAAACTGTCGCATACTGGTTATAAAATACAACTATTCGCAACCTTGTTTTAGTGTAAAATACGCTAGGACAAAATACCAGGAAGCTTGCACATAATTCATCGAGCAAAAAAAAGTAGTTGCTTGTATAGAACGTAAATTTGATGAAGGTTTAATTTTGAAAAACCTAGCCCACGATAATCCTGGATGCAAGAACAAAAGATATGATGCGAGAGGGAACAAAAAATGAACGGATGTAGGAAGTCAAACAAGAGAAATACTTAAGATTTGAATAATTGTGATTTTCGTCTCGCCCCCCCCCCTTTTTTTTCCCCCTTTCCAAAAAGAATATATATATATATATATATATATATATATATATATATATATATATATATATATATATATATATATATATATATTTGTTTTCAAAATTGGAAGTAGGAAAATGTCTGGTTCCTTCTTGTCTCCTTTAGACAAACCGCGTCCAGCTGAGACGCCGCGCAGTGTTGCGCACAGTTACACAACCGCTATATTTAGCGGAATCACGTCCCGCTAAATTTAGCGAACGATGCTTATCCGATACTGTAACGTCACGCGACTCCATTACATAACGTGAACCTTTGACGTCATGTCATACTCAAAATTCCAGCTAATGCAAAAAAAAAAAAAATCTCGGCTAAATTTAGCGGATAAATTTTCCCGCTAGATTTAGTGGGCCACGACGTACGCGAAACACACACATGGAATTCGCTGCCAAGCCTTGCCAATAACTGCTATCTACATAAAAAAAAAAAGATCATCCCATATTGGTTTACGACAGAAAATATATAGCTGGACGTGGGAAACCATCTCAAATATAAAGGTTGAGAATTCCCCGCAGTTCGCGCTCTCAATTCGCGATGGAAGCCCAATAGATAGGCCATTTCTAATTTGTCCTCCTTGGCACGTTTTGCAAAAACCAGTTTTGGACCTGCCGCTTGCAGTGCGCCAAATCGCGTTCCCTGGCTGTACACTTTCTTCCCGGAAAAGGGTGCGTTCATTCTTCCTGGTCAGTTTTGTCATAGTCTAATCGGAATTCCTCTCGGGTGTCCGCACAGCAAACGATTCTATGATCGTCGACTGCGTGACGCCGTCTTAAGCGTCTTTCACGGCATGTGGTCTCTTCGCAGCCCTTTACATTGACAAGGAGGAAAATTCCGCGGGAGGTTTTGTTGAAGCGACCGAATTTCGCCCAGAGTAATTCTTGCGCCGCTTTCTATTGAGACACTAGAAATCTAAAATTATTAATATCTGAACATTCATACACACACACACACAAAAAAAAAAAAGGAGATGGAGTTGCTTAAAAAAATAACCACTTCTTCCGTATTGCAAGTGGTTACACTTTAAAGCCTTGGAACGTTAGAAATATTAACATATAAGCTTTTACGTTAACGTCAACATCTTAAAGAGGACGGAGTGGCTGGTATTCTGAATTTATTTTGTATTTTAATATAATAAATTAAAATATAATTATTATGTTTACCTTCCTACCTACAGTTTTATTTCAAAAACACTGCAATAATTTACGCTTTTCTTAGACCGAGGAGTTCTGGGATAAACCTGACAAAGACAAAAAACCAAATCTTGTTTCTCTAGCCTTGAAAACTTCTGAAGAGATGGATGAATAGTCATGACTGGACCCTTCGAATCTATAAACAGCAGGTACTGTCGTGTCGTGGCCATTTTTATTATCCACTTTGAATATTTCTTTAACTTGAAGTACCTAAGAAAAGTTTGTTTTGGGGGTATCTTTCATTGCGCTTTTGAGGATATCAGGTCGACATGTATAATATTCTTTAAAAAAAGACGTTAGCAGCACCACATACGGTACTTGGCCAGCTGGCACGCACATACAGCATGTTTTCTTCCAACGATTCCACAGTGTTGACAAGATTTTTTGAAGGCGACTATTTTCAAAGAGCTATTTTCGAAGACGCTGTTGAGATTTCGTAGAGAAGTGCGCATGGCTATATGACAATCACGCTCGAAAGACTTCTCAGGCTGATGATTTATGAGGCAGAGAAAGGAAAAGTGAAGAGCGAAATGTATTGCAAGACGCTACAGCTGCGAGAATCGTGCACGACTTGCGTTGTCGACGACTGCACCTTTTGTGCATCGCACGCAAAATAATCAAACGGAGTCGGTTTGCACTTGTCACTTGCCAGCATCCACGAAGTTGTATGCCGGTTTAAATTTTAGAATCTAAAAATTAAAGTAAAGAGTTTTATGCGTTGCTCGGCCATAATAAAGTCAAAATAAACAAACACAAGACCAACTAAGATTACGTAAAATGCAAGAGAGTTAGATTGAGATTAGAACTTGATTCATATTTATTTGGAGAGCTTGGGTATTTCAACCAGTTCTTAGATGGATATCTATTCTGAGTGCGGTCGAGTTACTATTCAAAAGAAAGTTTGCTGATATTTTTCAACTGACATTCCTCAAGTTAACTCCGTTTTCACAACTGTATAAAAGCCAGCATTTTGTAAGTCCCGTTTATTTTAATTTTAAGGAAGCAGCATTCCATAACTTTCGGATACCGTCTTTAATCACCGTAATGGACAGATCGAAACATTTTAACATTCAGCAAGACAACTTGGTGAACAAATATGACGACATTAAAATGGATGCGCTCTTTCATTAGAGTTCTGAAATTAGAAGGAGCGCCTAAAGAAGACTTGAAGAATTCCAAGTGCAACTTGTGACGACCAGATAAGCTTGAAAAATCTAAGGATGGCATGCTGGAAGAAAAATATCGAATCAACATTTCAGTTAAGAAGGACTTACAGAAAACACTCGCAAGGACGGTACACGTAAAGTTCCCCGCGTAATGCGCCAACCTGCCAATAGGCTTTCATGAGACTATCTTAAACAAAATGTTTTATTTTTCTTGGAGCAAGCCGAGCTTATCTGCAGGGCAGCCTTTTGTTTCTCTGCTTGCCTAATTTACAAGAATAGTACCTCCGTCTTAATAGTATTACTCAAGTCTCCTCTGCAATCTCTAGGTGTAATCTTAAACCAGAAATCTCAATACGAGATTCCAGGATGAAGGGTGCCGACAGCTACGGAGTTACGAATCTCCCGAAGGCCAACTGCGTTAATGTTCGTTGTTACCATGGAGAGTTCGCCGAATAGTTCTGAAAATTGTATCGCGCCTAAAGGACCGCAATAAACTTTGAACCGCCACCCAGACCACTGATAGTAGATTATTTCGTCCACTCAGTCAATTCAGCAAATGAACATTCTCGTGTTTTCCGGGGAAAGTTCGGCAACCTCTATGGCTATAAAGACACAGAGAAAGTTCCACTGAGGCCCGGTGAAAGTTCATTAACCTTTATGGCTATAAAGACACAGAGAAAGCTGCGATTACGATCAGCTTATGCTGTGAATGGTAATAAAGTGCTGAATTACTGTTTGAATTTCACGCCAAGCGACATCAGTCGTTTGCTCCCCGCGAGTCTATTAACCAACGCGCAAGCGAGCGTCGACCTTCAAAAGATGACTCAAAAAAGTGCTGGAACACGGTTAAAAATGGAGTCAACTTTCCCTGCCAAGTCGACGTTTTGAGTTCTCAGTTTAAGCGCGGGCGTTGTGATAACACCCCAGGACAGGGGTGAGCGTGAAACAGGAGCGCTGCAGACGATTGCCGGTGTCAAATCAGAGTATACGAGGCAATGGCGCTTGCTGACAAGAAACCAAGAGCACGAAGAACGCGTTTTTTGTTGTTGTTTTTTCCCTCCTAAAGCCGAGATGAAACTTGGTGTGGAGACGTCTTCTGTTGATTGCATTGTTTTTTGAAGGCTTTTTTTTTTTTCCCCATTCAGTGGTCCGGAATAATGATACGATGGCTGTTTGTTTGGTTCTATACACGTCTTTCAAGGTAAAATAAAAGATACAGTCTTCGGTTTAACTTCGATTTCTGATAATCCCCGTAACAACATTTTAGAATGATGCTATGTAGTCAGTAAGAGCTTAGGTTTGTAGCGATAATTATGGTTGATTATTTGATTCAATCAATCGATGGTTTTGCTAGAGTAAATGAATGATACCGTTTACTGGATGCCTTCCGCGTAACCTAAGGGGTCGTTTCCAGCCGGCATACTTTACGGGGCTAATTTGTTCTTACGCATTTTTCGCTAGTTCATTTTGTATGTTGCTCACCTGCTGAAATTGAACATATTTCGGTGAATGGGACTAAACCCATATATTTCCGTGCACGCAGATCTTCGGCGGCGCGTCCTTCGCCCACTACCTCTTCACCGACAACAAAGATGTGTTTGCGGTCACATTCTGCTGGGGCATCGGAGTCATGCTGGGCATCCAGACTGGCGCCGGAGTGTCCGGTAAGTTCGACTGAGTGCCGCTGAAAATGATTATGCAAAACACAAATTCATGTTGTTTTTTTTTGTTTTTGTTTTGCAGGGGTGGCCGTGACGTTAGAACGCCGAGCTCTTATTTGCTCTGATAGGGGGTAGACCTCCTGACAGCTTGCTTTGAAGTCTACCTACTATCCTTCAATCAGAGCCAACCAGACCTCGGCGTCCTGACGTCATCACAACCCCCTGCAAAACAAGCAGACGAAGTTGTGCTCCGCGTATAACTACAGCCACTTACAGATTAAGAAACACAGGGCGTGGTTTATGATGTTAATGCATTTTTGCTTCGTGATCGGTTCCTCGGCGTTCTTAATCGCAGTGATGTGATTGGCCTAAGCCATTTTGGAGCACCTTTCGTAGCAGCTAGACAGTTTTTCGGAGCGGCAAAAGTGACTTTTGGAGCAGATATTCTTAGAAAAATAAAAATAATAGTTTTAAGTGCTGTACAAACGAAAGGACATTTTGTGTTGTGTTGTGTTCTGATGTGACGTGTTGTGTCGGAGCTTGCTGTTAATGTTTTTACCGCTGAGACACCCTACAAGTACAGAGTGCTGTAGGCATCGCCGAGCAATTCCGAAAAACCGCTGGCCACCGTTTTACTGATTCCCGACGTGCCAGAATTTCGTCAAAAGTAGGCGAACGTAAAGCAATGAATGTCAAGTTTCCCGGCTGGTGCCTCTGTCGTGCAATCATGTTCGTCGCATGCAGGTGAGGGCAACTTCGGCAGGCTTGCGGGTAGTCGTGCTTCGTTGTGCGAGCGGAGACAACGGCTGTTCGATCGAAACCATGTCACTCCGCTCCGTCGCCAACTGATTCCCAAAATTGTATGCAAAATAAAAACTGTCGAGCATAAAAAAAAAAAGGAAAGTCTAACGGCGCGTGTTTTCCAGGCCGGCAAACAAGATACAATCTAAACACAAATACACACACACACACACACACAAAAAGAAAAAAACAGAACCGGGGCGCGTTGATGCAAGACATCGCGAGCCAGGGTCAAAACGTTCTTGGAGCGCTTTGTGCAACGACGGAACTCGAGAAAAACAAGCGCGCTGTGCGGGTTCAGCGTGCAGACAGTGCCTTCTTTGGTTTAGGTCACTTCTCTTCAGCAACTGTCTTTCGCGTCAGATTTTTCATGCACCGAGGTCCCTCTCGAAAGAAAGCCCCCCGAGAGGAAACTAGGTAGTCAATACTTCGACACATAAGTCTTCGAGTTAAAGAGGGATTTTTGTAGCAACGTATGATTTAAACAAGAACAGGAATGTTGATAAACATGCGGCGGTATCTAGTTTCATCTGCAGCGACGTGGGAACGCCAACACCCGACATCGCGCGACCACAGTGACTGGAAGGCAGGGTCCAAACATTCTTTTCCCACGGCCGTTGCTTTCAGGAGCGAGTGCTTGATCAGCTCACAAAGTAACTCCCGCCGCGCAAAAACGTGGTGTCGTTTCAGAGCATGACGGCATGGCTGGTACCCGGCACGCTAACGTCGGAGCGTCCGGACACACCGGCGTCTATCGTAGAAAATATTAAAAAAAAAAGACGCGAGACGAGACTTACGAGAGCGCGAAACGCGAGATGGCGGCAAAGTCATGCAAGCGGCCGCTTGCGCCGCATAACACACGCATGCTCAGTTACGGTGCTCAGTTTAGTTTTGGTTTTGAAAGGCGACCGGAGTTGGTTTTCTGGCGCATGGCTTGGCGCAGATTACCCATATTTTGGCAAAATGTAGCAGGATGTAGCAGGATTAGCCCCTTGGCGCAGTTTGGTGCAATTGGCGCAGCAATCACATCACTGTTAAATTGGCGATTGCCGCTATCTGATTGGCTGAGGACCGATAATATGAGATGCATGGGGACTCGCCACGCCCTGGGACTAAAATAGTATCACGCCTACTACTCGCTCATTTGTGCGTGTGCCCGATAAGCGACGTATACAGCAAGGCCTACTAGACAACAAACGGCCGCGATGCTGGATTGCTTTTACGTCACTCATCGGAGGCGAGCGCGGTATACACAGATCGAGCAGCGGTGACGCGTCGGAGTTCGGCTGGGTCTCGTGTTCTCGCCGATTGGATACACGAGTCAAGGCCGAACGATGACGTAAGGCACTCATGTTCAATCCATGCACGGCGTCCTGGCACATCCGGTATAGCCTATAGGTGACCTAGAAAATCAAACACTATACGCCCCCTCCCCCCCCCCCCCCCCCCCCAAATTACAACGATTTTTTTTTTTACCACTAAAATAAATTATTTGTCACTGAACGCTGATTAACTGTCCAAATGAAGCGCTAGCTGTTCGAACCAGATGCAAAAGTTTTAGAACTAACCTTTATCTTATCAACATGTTATAAGTGGTTTTCTGCAGCTTTTAATGGAAAAATGGCGGCCGATGGACCGAGCTCTCGAATAGATCGAGCTGAATAGAGATGCATTCACCGAAAACTGGAGAGAAAGGAGCCCCATTTTCTTATCGAAATTTTCAGGAAAATCATTTATAACTTTCGAATGAGATATAACGGTCATAGTTCTGAAACTTTGGCGTCTGGTGTGGACCCAAAGCGTTACACTTTGGCCGGAGACTGAGCGTTCGGCGATGAGTAGTTTATTGTATTTGTAGAAAAAAGGAAAGAGAATCATACCATCGTAGATTTCTGGCGGGACACCTTGTATTTTAGGTATAGTAAGTGTTCACTTGAGCGAAGTGCGTAGCATTTTCGTTTGACGGATACTTCATGAAACTCAAGGTGCTTCACTTGGCGAAGTAAAAGGGTAGCGCGAACATTCCATATGTTAACTAAACTAATATATTTATATTTGTTGCAGTTTTCGAGTGTATGGTGCGATATATTTTCACTTCAAAAATATATTTTAATAAAAAAAATGCATTTTTAATATACGTTTAGCACACTTTTAGTTGGAGTAACGCTGTACGTGTATATGAATTCTGCTAATAATGTAGGAAAATCTACCCATGATATTTGTTAATATAATATTATTATAGTCACAAAATGCATTTTTCAAAGTATACGATTTTGTATCGAGGTGAAAACCCAGTATAAGTTTTCGTTTAATTTTATCTTCAGAGTCAGGGCTAACAAGATATATATATATAAGCACACGAAACAACGGGAAAAAAAATACTGGCTAGGGGGCGCAAGTTGCCGCCTTATTCAAAGAGTTTAGCCTCCATCCATCTATCCATTCATTCATCCATCCGGTTGCGCGCTCTGGAACCCTGCCCAGCGCCTATGCTGATATATAAACACACGAGGCAGTACTTTATCTGAAAGCAGACAGAAAAAGCAAGCAACGCACGCCGCAATACAAAGCAGGCAAAGATGCGACCAGCGCGTTCGATGTTTACACCTAGTCGAGAGCGCACTGCATCGTTCCCCCACATCTCTGTCGGTTCTATTTTCCTGGCCGAGCGGCAGGAATTTCCTGCAGGCTCTATATTAAGACGGCCCTTGACTGACGCAACGAAATGCGTAGGCACACACCCCGTTTTTGACGTCACTTTTAATGCGTTTTCCTCGCCTCGTTTTAATTCTTCCTCGTTGCGCCCCGACGCGCCCGTGACAAAGATGGCCACCGCGCGCGGGCGACCGTGCAATGGTCACGTGACTGCGTCTGTTCGCGCACTTGCGCGCATGCGCGCAGGTGGATTTCCTCCGCACCCTCCATGCAAGGATTGCTACAGGCGCGACGAATAATCACGCTACCCTAACCCACGGATAGACCGCTAAAACCCGCGTTGTGTAAAACAGACCGCCATGAAAATAAAGCTTCGGGAGACCGTCGTATTTGTCCTTCTGCTTCTGTGTTCCTTTTCGTCTGCTACTGTCTCCGGGGTTTTCAACATGAGCACGCAGTATATAGCCTGAAATGTGCCGTTCTGAACCACAACATCGCCCATGGCGCATGGCGCAAATTTGACACTTGGCGTCCGAGTGTCTAGCTGGGAAAGGGCAGAAGCTAAAGGGGTGAGGCTTCTAGGTCAAGGGGGTTCTTGGCAGTGCGGTCTCCAAACTAATTCGAGGAAGCCAAGTGGAGCACAAGCCTCGTGTCGAGACCGAGAATGGGAGGGGCGCGGTTATTTTGGCTCCTTCGCAAACGCGGGAGGCGCACAAGTCTGACTTGCTCGCAACTGATGCTTTACTGCAGCCGCATTGACTGTACACTGTCCTTTCTGTGTTTTAAGGGGAACCAGACGCAATCGAGGCAGAAATACTTTGGCAACGGTGCCGCGCACTATACCGACGAATAGATTGCATCGTGTCGGCTCTGTAGGGTTGCGTATGTAGGCGCGTTGTGCCTACATACTCAACCGTTCTGAGAGCTTAAAGAGCCGGGCATTTAATTATAGCTCTCCACCCAATGAGATTCAGGCATTGGACATTGGGCATTAGGCACAGAGCAATTGAAGCGCGAGCATATTGAGCCTCACCCTGCGTTTCTTAAACTCTCGGTTAAGAAAAGAAGAAAAAATAAATAAAAGCTGCGTTTTTGCCGTGCTTCGCTGCATACTACGTCAAATTCTTGCTTTGCCACCGGCGCACCCGCACGGTAAGAAGGGAAGAATGGCGCAGAATAAGGTTTACGATACCAAAAGGAGGTCGAGTAGAACGTTCCTGAATTGTGTATCGATTCGTTTATGTCCTTAATTAAATGAAATCATGCTTAAAAGCCTCCGGTGGTGTGGTATATGGGGAACACGGTAACGGTTTGGCTAAAGTGCCTTATGTGTTCCTACGCATCAAAATCGAGGTGTCGTCTTACCGCTGGCGTGTGATTAATCCTCTCGGGCACGCTACCAAGCCTACTACTCTACTACCAAACCTTTAATCCTAAAAACAAAACAAAAAAACTTTATATTATATGTTGCGACGTGAAATTAGATACAGTTACGATGTTTGCTAGCCTTCTATTCTTAAAGGTCGTTTCGGATATTTGCGTTCCGAGTACGACAGTCTGCACTAAGGGCCACTTAAGGCTGGTTCAACTTCACACACTCGCGATTGTTTGCGACCGAGTGTCTTTAGAACCTCTTGGGATCTTATACGATGTGAGAAGACACACTGGAGCCATCTATCGCGTAGCCGAGAAACACTTTGCATTTCGGTAGATGTTCTCTCCTTTTACAGCGGAGCTGTTAAGGGCTAGTTTCTCCAGTTTCGTGTCCCTGGACAAATAAATCTCGACACAACTCTCTGGACAGCTACCGCCATCTATGAGCGACGGCGGCACATAGTACAGCTCCGCTGATCTTCCTTCTTCACCAAAGTGGAAAGGCTGACCTTTTTTTTATTCGCACATTATCTTTTTCTTTTCTGGAAAACGTTTGGCAATATTACAAACGACCATCTCTCATATATACTACGTACATTTGATCACGTAAATAGTGCGGAAAAACATTCACTCTATATAGCAAAATGCAGTTCAACGGTCACCTCATAGATGGCGCAAGCGTGCTACAGCGTGTTCTCTCTCTTCGCTAGAGAGATCGCAAGAAACTCGGTCGTAAGCAAACGCAAGTGCGCGAACAGGCCTTTTACGACTGCCTACGACGAGACCTACTACTACGTGAGTTGTTACCACGGCGACGTGCTTAATCGCCTGTAGTCGTGCAAGCGGCGCAGTTCGCTGTATATGTACACTCAAAACGAGAATGCTTCAAGTGTAATATAGCTTCGAAGTATTCGGCTGCTGTTCTATTGTCGTTGCTGCTTCCGTTGCTTTACTGTCCTCATCTTACGCAACACACTCCACAGATGGCTCTAAAGCCGCAGTCTAACTGCTAATACATTATACAAAAGACACGGCGTTCAAAGCCGTAGTCCAACTACTCATACATCAGACAGGGCGTTCGCAGAAGGCATGACAACAGATATCTGCGGTCACTATATCATGTTTGAAGCATTTGTCTTTTATACGCATGTGTGCTTCGCACATGTCTAAATAATTTCTTTTGTACGGCCAATGTGCTAAGGGCCGTCAAGCATGAAGGAAACACGCTTCAGACAGTGTGTCTGCGGCTCAACGTTACTAAAACCCTCAGTTGGGAAACTCACCCTTGAAACTCGGGCCGCTGGTATCCACCGAGACCGAGCTAAATACGATAACAGCGCCACCCTTTAGCGACGAGTTGAAACATGAAAGCTGCGTCACATAGCTACAGCGAGATGGCCCTACGAGATGGCGCCACCGGCCCTTGCCCGACTCGACGGGCAGCCGTGCAGTTCCCGGAGTGGACGCTGCGGGAGAAATGGCGGCGTTGCGATCGCCATTAGCTCGGTTCTCGAGTACGGATCGGAGCAACTTTTTCAAAGCATACTCTATGGCAGTTTCCCAACTGAGCGGTTCTAGTAACGTTCCCACGGCTTTAATAAGGTTCCGCGAACGTTATACGAAACAAAAAGTAAAAGAGGGTTGGGAACATATCGGAGCTAATATCGTTAATATCGGAGATTTCAAAAAGACGAGATTTTCAATGGCAGGTGCGCTTCTTTGTTGTTTTTCGCACGGCCCAGGGGGTCACGTGAACCCGATCGTGACGACGTCTTTCGCGAGCGTCGGGAAGCTTCCCTGGCGGAAGGTGCCTCACTATCTTCTGGGACAGCACCTGGGAGCCTTCCTGGCGGCTGCCATCCTCTACTTCAACTACATCGGTAAGGGCGCACGGTTTTATCCACCAAAGCATTTGGAAAGTCGGGCGTCAGCTGTATGTTTTTTTTTCTTTATTTTTTTAAGCGCAGATAAAACGAAACAATTTTTTTGTATAATACGGCAGAAACTAGCGATGCAGTTGATGTTAGGAGTTGAGCTTGTTTTCAGATGCGGTATTCGTAATAGACACTCCAAAATGTTCGACAAGTGACTTAATTGTTTTATCTTTATTTTTAAGGTAAGTCAAATAATCTCTTGTATAGGTGTCTAAATCTATAGGTGATTAATAATAATAGTATTTTTGATAATACTAATTAATAAAAAAAGCTTTTATTGTCCAGGAACAACTTCTTCGTCTTTGTGCTGGTACACTTGAACAACAACAAAAAAACACATAAAAAACAGTCCAGTAGAGAATTAATAATAGTAATAAAAAAACATGCTCATAATATTAAGTGTAGCATGCTTTAATTTCATACTATTTTTTCATGATTTGGGGATTTAAAGTTTCAGCGCCATACCAAAATTATTACAGTAATATCGCCTTTAAATAAAATAGCAATCCTGCTTTATTCAGTTGCCAACATATTGGGGACGATATTGTATCGTATGAGTTATATGATCCTCAATTTGCAATACCAATGAAGTGTTAAGTTTTTGTCACACGTTCAGCACCCCGATTAATGTGATCCAGTCCGCCTCCTCCGAGAGCTAGGTCAGCGTTTATTGCAAGCTTATTATCCGAATTATTATTATTATTTTTTTTATATTTCTTTCCTATTGTTTCGGAACAGATCTTCTGGACAAATTTGATGGTGGTGCCAGACAGATCTTCGGAACTAACGGCACGGGAATCCTACTGAGCACGTACCCTCATCCTGACGTTCACCTCTCCGTCTGCGTCTTCGACACCGTAAGTAAAAAAAAAAAAAAAGAATAAAAGAATGCAACTGCATACTGAACATCCATGGCGCAAGCGTGAAACCAACTCCCCCCCCCCCCCCTCCCCCTTTGAAGGCAGTGACCCTGACACGCGAGGTGTCACTTTGAGAAACACCATCTGCTCGCCACTATCACCCCCCTCCCCCACCTCCTTTCCCTCCATGGTGTGGTGCAGACGACACAGGGTTTCATTCTTCGAAATAACGCAGAATCGGATCACTTGAGGAAGAGCAATCTTGTCAAGAGTTGGGTGCAAATGAAATGTACGGGCTGCACGTTCAGAGGGGATGGATCTCAGGCTCTGGTCCGCTTAGAGGAGAAGCACCTCCAAGATCTTTATTTGACCCAAAAATAAAGTAATTTATCTTTTTCATTTTCGCGAAAAAAAAAAAAAACAAAGACAGACAAGCACGAAAATCAGCTTATCATGTTTTTTTATGCATATCACGAACAGCCTGGCAGCGCGCGTCTAATCATGTTCGAGCTTTTTCATTCGTTCCTTCGTTCGCGATTTACGATTACTTAAATGGTCTATACTTGTCTCAATAAATGTTTCCGTCTACGAAAAAAAAAAAATGTAGGAAGCTAAGTCTGTCTCAAAGCTCGTTCCGTTCGGCGTGCAGAGGTACGCGGAATTCCGCTTGTAAGAGCCAAGGTTACAGCGGTTAAGCAAAGCGGAGGCGAGACCGTTAACAAGCTACGCATATTACATGAGTGCAGTTTCGACACATGTTCGAGCGTCTCGGACGGCACCGCGTTTAGATGTCGACATTTCAACATACAACAACTTGTTTCATGGGCGACCCCACATTTCGTTTTCAACGAAATGATAAATAAAAATTGCATTCGTATTTATGTCGCGGCTGATGTATGCTGCATGCACCAAGAAAAGCCACTTCATTTGCGTGTTTTTTTTTTCTTGTTTCTTTTGGCGTGTATTATTTATTTTTTTTCAAAACGAATTTAAAAGGTTTTCGTATAACATCGCTCGTCAACTTCTTCAGAAGTAGGTGTAGCTTGACCTCCACATATGCGAATGTATCCATTTTCGTTTTGAACATTTGACTCGTAGAAGGACTAGCGCTTACAAATTTGATTAGTTTATGTACCCTGCAATAAAATGTGTCTGCATAATTACAATACACTGCTCTACTACAGTGGGTTTTTGTCGTTAAATTAGTCAAATACATAATAAACGTATCAACTTATATGGACAAATCTTCGCCTTGATTGATAGTATCACTTGGTGGTAACAAAAGGAGTCTGGGTCCGTCTCAGTGATCAGTTTTATGCATCATCACTACTCAGAATTTTTAGGCGATGGTCGAGTTACGCTTAAGTATATGTAGAATGAAGTGCGTTACTGTAATTATAGTTCTAGTTTTTGTTTACCCGAAATTTGAGTGTACCGTATAAAAAAGTTTGGCACCATTCTAGGTTACCTGTTTTTTCGTTCAATCCACTGACACCTTTATCAGTTGTTACAGAACGTATTTCACCGCCAAACTATAATCCGAAGATGCGTACATACTAGGCGCGGTTTCCTTGGCAGAAACAAACAAACAAACAAAACAATTCACTAAACGTTCAACACTTTTATGAAGCAAACATCATACCTCAAGTATATATTTTCAGTTGTTCCGCAGTATTTACATTCAACGTCTCAAGTATACTATTAAGATACCTTTACTTTTTTTTTTATTGTTGTGGTTCCCGTCTACCCATTACTGCTGCAAAAGTGATAAACTTAAAATATATTTACGTGCTATTAATAAACTCGGGGTATACTTTAACGGTATAATTTCTGGACTATACTATTTGCTTTATAAAAGCTGAAATTGGTCGACTTTTTGTTGTTTCACTTCTCGCCAAGAGATTATCTTACGGAGCGTTTAAGCACCAGCGAAGTTCCGGGATCGAGTTTGAGCTTAATTGAGCCACGTGACCCCGCAGATCATCTGCTCGGGCCTGCTCATGTTCACCATCATGGTGATCCTGGACGACCGCAACGCGAACACGACCAAGGGCATGCACGCCTTCCTCATCGGCATCATGGTGGTGGCTCTCTGCTGGGCCTTCGGCTCCAACTGCATGGCCGCCGTCAACCCCGCCAGGGACTTCCCGCCCAGGGTGCTCAGCGCCCTGGTCGGATACGGCGCCGAGACCTTCTCGTAAGTTCGCTCTCAACGTCCACGCGCACTCCTCGATACCAGTGAGAAAACATCAATTGCTGGAAATTGTTTGTGTTCGGCAGAACTACGGTGCCGGAAAAGCGTCTCCGACCGGTGTGTTTAGCGTCCTATGTGGAGCGCAAGTTCGTCTGCTTCTTTTGGAGGGGTTGTGGTGACGTCAGAACGCCAAGCTCTGATTGGCTCTGATTGAAGGATGGTGGGTAGACCTCGAGGGCAGCTTGCTTTGAGGTGTATACCCACTATCCTACAATCAAAACCGGTCAGAACTCGGCGTCGTTCTGGCGTCACCGGAACCCCAGGTCCAGAAGCAGACGACATCTTGCATAAGCCAGCGCCGCCTACGCAGGGAGGAACACTTTGGAAGAGAGGTCAGGCCTAGAGGAGACAACATGGAGCTAGCGGACAAGACAGCGCGTAATTCGTTTAATAGAGTTAATCAAGTGCAAGCATGGGTCAGGCATTAGAAGAAAGACGCCTCAGACGAGTCAAAGACATCGCACGACCTATACGAGATGTGTGTATGTGCCAGCAGAATGCGAGAACGACTGATATGTTTCCATAAACTGATACATGCTGAGAACGTAGACACGAAGTTATATTGTAACTCACAAGCCTGTCCGAGCCGTTAGACTTTCTGAAACGTTAGCAGGAATGGTTGATACAATGGCTCATATACAGGCCTTCGGGCGAGTGAAGATAATCGTGGTTTCGGTGCCACGCCTACTACGTTTCCGTGAGCTGCCGTGGCGACGGTAGCTGTCGCAGCTGGTATAGCTGCTGCCGATCGCGTGACTGGCCAGATTGATGGCAACAGGAAGACGGCCTGAGGCAGCCAGGCACGCAGGCGTCCGGCGTCACGGCAGCGGGAGGTCTTCTTTTGAGGATTAAATGCGGCGGTGCAATGTGCAGCGAATGGAACCGCATTGAAGGAGGAAACAAAGAGAAAATGAGAAATATGTATAAAACAATAGGCGAATCAGAAAATAGAGTAAAGGGAGAGTGAAGGGCAAGAGAGAACGAAGGTGACAGGAGAGGTGTAGATAAGCTGATCTCTCTAATTTCTTTACTTTTCCTTGCCATTAACAATGGAGGACTGGATTAACCTGTTTAACGGCATTGTGACCCAATGGAGTTCTACCACATTAAAAGCGCAGCTAATTGACTACTATTATCAGTTTCATTTGTGGCATAACAGTTTACTGGATGTTTTTAGTAATTTGTTTAAATATTCTATTCATATTTTTTATTCTATGGTATACATATTTTGATGTTTCGTATAAGTTTTTTTTTATTTCATTTTTGTTTGTTTACTTCTGATTTTTATGTTGGTGTCTTGGATATCACCGCTCTCGTGTAATGCCCGTATCCGCCCTCAAGGTTTAGTACGTGATGCTGATGACGCTGATGATGGGATGGCACGAAATTAGCACGTAAGACTGATTTTTATACTGTTCAAAAGTGTTGTACTGCTGAAAAATAAAAGTCCAGAATTCAGTAGTCTTAAAAAATCTCTCCGAGATTCAGAAGTATTTACATAAATTTGCTTTGTATTATGTTTTTTTATACTAGTAAAACTCTTTAGTGTACCTCATCAGTGCAGAAGTGTTACTAAAATGGGCGCAGGCGAGCTGGCAAACGATCGTAGTAGGAAACGAGAAAGAAAAGAACAACCTTGAGATTAGGGCCCAAAAATGGAACTACACAACAACATCTCAAGTTTGAGACGGTGTTGTGTTGTCCCATTTTTTGGCCCTAGTCTCAATTTTCTTTTTTTGCTTATGCGGAAGTGTTTTTGTTGCGGAAGGAACCATTCTTCATTTATTATGGTATTACGAGTGACCGGGCAGCCAGAAAAAAGAAAGCACCTTGAGCGCCAATTTTCAAAGCAACTTTTGTGTGGCTGATATAGTTTTAGCAGACTCGGTTGTCATGGCGACGACCTAGAGAGCGAATGATCGCGCCTTCCGCACGCATGCCCTGGTTGTCACTTCGGACTTCATGGGAATGATCAAGACGAAGCACCTTTATATTTTCGTCCTGTAAGCCCACCAGCACCAGCGCATTTCATCTCAATGTCCATGACCCTTGACTTCCTGGAGAGAGGAATAAACGGCGACGTTTCTGCTAGATGGTGAATGGCGTCATCTGGTGGCGGGATCAGCAACCACAATGTGCCGTTCTTTCGATAAGACGTAAAAAGGAGTATTTTTTTCTGATACTTCTGCGCTAAAGTAAAGCAGATTAGCGATCGAACTGCTCTAACCAGATTAGCCGTATGCAGACCTTACTTTATCTTCAAGACGTTAACATAGACTGATGTTTCGCTGTATGTAAATGCATTAAGTGAATATTGCCAATGTTAAACATGTTGTTACAAACTAAAGTAATATTTTCAAGAAGTTTTTTTTTATACAAGTGAAATTTTTGTTTGGAAGTGTTTGCTGTACAAGTGAAATTTTTGGATTATGGTTACTATTTCTTTACTTGAGATACTGCAGGCGTTTTGGTAAACGCAAGTAGAGTACAAGCAATAATAATAATTTAAAAAAAAAACACGGCAATGCGCACACAGCATAAATCCAAAAATCGAAATTCGTAACGACACCACATGAAAAGTATGTAATAACAGATCATGAACAGAAAACATTCCGCACAGTGATATAAAAATACCGTAGCAATGCGAAGTCCAAAGAATCACTCGAATAATTAAGGCTTAATTTTGCACTGCACATGAAAAATAGTTTAGATCATGGAAATGCTTAGTCAGACTATCAGAGAGCAACTGCGATTCGGTGAGTTTGACCAATTCTTCCGGTAGCGAAATCCAACCTTCCATGGTTTGAACGAAATATTAATATTTGAATGCGTCATTATTGCTGTGACGCCGTCTTGTGATTTTAGCGTGGTTAGTTTGATCTAAGTGAGTGTATGGTGTTCTTTTTTTTTTTAAATATTGATCCGAATTTATTCTGAGGTAGCCGTAGTATAACTGATGCATAAATTTTAATCGGGCAATGCTTCACCTCATTTTGAATGTTTGCAGGTTGGATATTTCAAGCTAAACGGTCATACTTTTCGTGCGTCTATATTGTGAGAAAATGAATCGCAAGCCCCAATTTTAGATTTTGCTGACGGCGTTTGATAATTATGTTTGGAGAGGATCCCACACAATTGCTCGCATATTTTAATAAAGGTCGAATTAGAGTCTTGTAAGCATTTCATTTACATTCTAGCCTCGAGTGTTTCAAATTTCTCATCGGGAAATATAATTTTTGGCAACCCGTGTTGTAGTTATGATTGACATGCGTGTTTCATTTAAAGTCTCGTGATATTAGTATGTTACAACCCCAAGATATTTAACTTTGTCTGTTTTCATTAACGGGAATTTCGAAATTTCGTAAGTAAAATCAAATACTTGCTTTTTGTTCGTTATCGTCATAGCAACCGATTCATCATGACTAATCTTCATACTCCAGCCAAGGCAGCAGTGTAAGACAGCCTGTAATGACGCATTCAGTTTTTTTTGTGTGTGTTTTTTTGTCACTCTTTTTAGTTATTTCGCAGTACATGACATCCGCGAATAGCTTGACCCTCACCGATGGATCGATATTCCTGCTCAAGTCGTTTACATGAATAAGAAATAATGGCCCCAGCACCGGCCCTTGTTTTACTCCGGAAAGTACATCGAGTGTTGTTGAACATTGATCACTAATTTCTACAAATTGTACGCGTGCGCTAAGATACGCTTCAAGCCAGGAGAAAATATTCGCGTTAATACCGATAGCTTGAAGTTTATGTATTAGTTTATTATGGGGCACACGGTCAAAGGCCTTCGAAAAATAAATGAAAATGGCATCCATTTGACGTCAGTTATTAATAACTTCCGCGAAATCATGAACTTCTGCAACTAATTGAGAAACTGAGACAGCAGCTCTAAGCCCATGCTGATTGAGATCAAATAGTTGATTTTTTTTTATGTACGTCCTTATGTGTTTACTTATTATATGTTCGATTAACTTGCAGCACGTACGTGGATTAGAGCGAAATATGTCTATAACCGTTATAGTAATTTGCTTACAGTTTTACGTATGGCAATGCCTTTTCCGCATAGTCAGTCATCCGGAACTTGAGAGCTTAGAAGAGACACGTTATATTTAATGAATAGATATTGCAATATCCACTCGGCGTATCTGTTTAAAAATGTGTTACTGACCTTATTCGGCCCTGGTGCCTACCTAGTATCAAGATTTAGTAGTTGTAGTAAGAGAACGCCTTCTTCGCTTAGCTTAAGTTCTTGCATCTCTGATTCTACAGTTGAAGTCGCTACATCGGGGAGGGTTGAAGTTTTTTTCCGCTGTGAAATTAGACTGAAAACATTTATTGAATGCATTAACTATGTCAACTTTTTCTGTGCATGTAACATGTCCAGAAGTAATCTGTGTTATTACTTCTGCTTCCCGAGAAAGATATCGCCAGAGCCTCTGTAGCTATACATTTCATGAATACAAGAAAAGTCAGAAAAAAGTTTGTATTTGTTTGTTTCAACGACTTTTCGGTTACTTCTTTTACTTCGATATATTTTTAATCGCTTACGTTTGAGCTTACGTTTTAAGTGTATAATATCTCGAGCTATCCAGGGATTTTGCCTTCGTTTCTTTTTTTAGTTTTTGTTGGTACACATATTTCCTCACAAGTTATTATTCTTTTAAAGTTGTCCCAGAATTCATTGATATTGTCGGATTTGGCAAGGTCATCCAGTAACATTTCGAGATCATCTATAACCGATTCATCCTGAAGTTTTAATAAATCCTTGAACACAATGTTGTTAACCTACAAGGTCAATCTTCAGTTGTGCTATCGAACATGGTTAGATATTCCTTCATGAACTGATACACTGTGATCAAGATCGGTGCTATTAAGAAATATTAGAGTATAAAACAGCTCTCTTTGCAAATCCCAGTAGTCTTTGTCACAGCCCGTTCCAAGCCGGTGCTAAATCCTGCGCTCAGTAAAATATCTGCACGTTGGTCGTGGGTGTTGCCTAGTGCCGTTCCAGTCCAGTCTATGCCAGGCATGATAAAGCCTCCAGCAATAATTAATCGTACACTATCGATTGCCCGGTCTATCAAAAGTAATGTGTTGCTTCGAGAAACCCAATAGAAGCAAGCGTACGCCACCTGCTAAAAACATTGTCTTCCCGAATGTTATCTTGCACCAGACCGACTCTGTATTTGGTACGCCATCAAGAACAGTAAACTCAATGCTTTTTCTAAGTAGTATTGCCACACCCCCTCCCCTGGATTCCCGATCTTCTCTATCACTGAATATGAGGAACGAAGACTCATATTGCGAAGGCAGATATAGCGAAGGCTGATATAAAAGAAGGTTGATACTGCGGATACTGATTTAGCGAACGCTCATATAGTGAATATTGCTACAGCGAACAGCGAAATAGAGACCACTGGTATAGCGAACATTGATGGATCGAACATTGATAGTAAAGGCTGATATAAGGAAGATACGAATATACTATACTAAAGGCAAGTTTACATACGCCCATAATACTATTTTGTGCGTTCCTCTGTCTGTACTGCGCAGCTACCGTCAGTTCTGGTGGATCCCTCTGTTCGTGCCCCACCTGGGCGGTTTCATCGGCACCTGGCTCTACGTGCTCTTCGTGGGAATGCACATACCCAAGCCGCGGAGGGACGGCGACGAGAAGGAAGTGGTCAACCTGCTGCCTCTCGCACCCCGGGCAGGTGAGATCGCCACGCTACGTGAGGGTGAATCACACGGTTGCGTTTGACATCGCTTGGGTGCGTTGCGTTCTCTTGGAATCGCTTACAAGAGACGGGCACACTGGCACCATCTATCATATAGCCCTGGAAGTTTTCAAAGCGATTGAAGAGTGAAATGGGCTTCCAAAAAGCGTTTTTAATTCCTCTAATGTGTTTCATTTTGAATCTGCATGGAAACACCTGCTTTATTTTTAATGAATAAATAAAGAATCATGTCATTAACAGTTTGAGTGTGTACTACCGGTACTAAGTTTTCAAATATTGGGTTCTTATGTGCGTTAACTTGAGCTGAAATTGTATTATGTTTTCTTTCTTTTTTTGTCTTTGTGTGCTTTTCACCTTCGTGCAATTTTCCAAGTTATTTTGTTTGTCGGAAGTTTGGTGCAATTCTCTCGCTATATCTCAACCTCTCCTGTAATGATAATCAAGAGAGGGCCAACAGTATTTATAAATAAATAAATAAATAAATAAAAATTTGCGTATATATATTTTTTTTTATTTGTTTACGCGTAGTTTTTTTGCCGTGGGCTTGAAGTAGTTCTGACACTGTTATAAACGAATATTTCATAAATAGTGCGTCTATCTGGCCTCACGAATGCTGCAATATCTTCAGTATAATTAGAGCCAGTACACCTGCTGATAAATGGCACCAGCGTGACAGTGTGCTCTCGCGTCGTAGGCGGTTACAAAAGAACGCAACGCACATGAGCACACTCAAGCGCGAATGTGTGAGCCAGATGTTATCCTGTACCTTATCAACTGCAACATCATCTACTGCGTTCGCAGTGACTGAAGCGGTAAAAACGACAGAATCCCCACGACAGCTGGGACTCATAAGCCACACGGCAGCCTCTCCTCAATAAAGGGGTCGACGGCGATTGCTTTCGACCAAAGAACCAGATATCAAGAACGATACCAACGCAAGTCTTTTCGAGACTCGCACTTTCATCCAGCATCTACATCTTCCAATGGTTCTAGAGGGACAAGTGCGGCTGCTGATATTAGTAGGCCGCTAGCTACAGTTAGGACGTGTTCTTCACCGCTACTTTTAGCATGTGTTGGTGCAAGATAGCGCGTTCTATATATACATAAAAAACCGAGCTAGAAACAGAACACGTTGACATCGGATCATATCTAACAAGCTTTCTATATCTAAAGAAGTAATTCAAAGCGACGCCGTTCACTTTTACACGCACAAGATAAGATTATGCAAAAAAAGAAAAAGCGCGGTTAATGGTTTTATTGAGCTCCAATGTTTAATGCTATTCAACTAATACATGTGCGGAAGCAACGTATTAGCTAGCAAATGCACTGTCAGAGTTTGCGCATGCGGAGGGTATTGTTTGCCGGCTTCAAACAGAAGGCTGGTTCGTCAACCCAGAACAGTTTCTAACCATATGTCAGCTAAAGGGCAAAAGGCTAACGGTTTGTGCTTTTAAATACTTTCGTAAGAATGACGCACTTCGGCAGTCAATGCCAGCTGCGGTCATCTGTTTCCCGGTCCAATGTCACAAAACTAAAAACATAACAACAACAAAAAAAAAAAATTAAGTAAGCCTAATCTATAATGTATGCCTGCCCGAATTAAAAAGAGAAGCTTTTCCCCCTCCGCTCCACCATTTCTTTAAATTAGAAAATGAACATTATTATTAGTATTAAATATGTTCAACTAAAGAAACTTGGCATTATACTGCAGCAAAGTTTAATGTTGCGCCCCGATTGGTCTTCTGCTATAGCTTCGTCGACGAATGGTTTCACGACAAAGTGAAACCTCAGTTGTCTTTGGGGAATCTTGAAGACACATGCTACCATCTTTAAGCTTTAGGGGATTTACAGAAAACGTATGAGGCTAGGGAGCCAAAGTCCAAGCCTAATATCCAGTGGCTGGTGGCCCGCTAAGCCTAACCGACTCAGCCGCGAACGAGGCCGATTTCTAAAGTTGAAGTTTATCTGCCAAATAGCTATTCCTAACTAGAACCTGGTTCCGCTACTTGCTGGTCGTCTGTAGCGATTCTAACGGGGGGCTCCTACAACAGACTAGCATAACTGAAAAAGTTTTCTGATAAGTGGGAACTGTGCGGTAGACCGACCAGTGACGCAGCGTTTTATCTTGCAGACGGCGATAGCATGGAAATCATTAAGGTGAAAATCAAAGAATCGTCAGAGCCCCAAGTGATGATGACGGAACTTAAGGGTTGTCGGGAAGGTCAAAAACCAAGTCGTCAAGACCAGCCGAACGAGGAAAACACGGCACTACATATATAGCAACAACAAGCAGTCCTACAAGGATTGAGGTAGGCCAGTTTGAAGGGAGACGTTGGTTCCCGGCCAACTTTGTATCATACTTGACGAAGTCGCCTTAGCGGATCGCACTAATAACAACCTTTGGGAAGACGGCGTTCCACAACATTTTTTTTTTATTTAATGTTCATATCCTTAGCATATACATCATTCTAAATAATGTAAAAAAAACGTTTGGCGAATTTTTGCGTACAAGCAGATTCATACCCGAAGTATGTTTCCGTAGCTCTGGGGCTCTTATTACAGATTTTGAAACATGTTTATTGGAATATTTCACCATAATAGGGCCAGACCACTATACTATTTTTGACGATCATAGCTGGTGTTTACACATATGCATGAAAAACAATTGGAAACTAGCAACGTCTTGCGCGTAAATAAAAGAATTCATTTTGACTTAAGATCTTCCTAAGAACTAGAAGTAATTTACCAAGAACAGACAAAAATGCTAAACCTCTGGGTCATGTCTCGGCGTCAGTGGTTGTGGCCACAGACATGCCTCAGCATGATTATGCTATTTGAGACGTATACTTGGGAATTAAAAGTCCCGGTGTTAGCATCCTTTTTCGTAGAGCTGTGAAGTAATAGTTCTTAAAAGATTTTATGGTAATGTAATTAGCTATAATCTCTACAACTAAAAAGTTACCATAAAAGTTTAGTAACTGTAAGAAATGCACCATGTTCCGAGCTGGGACCGGAACCGAAATACACCTACCCAGACGTCATGGATATCTCAAAAGTAATTGGAATATAATTTCGTTACATTTTGTGAATAGCTGCAACTGTAATTAGATACAATCGCAATAATGCAAGGATAACTGCAACTATAGATACGCTCGCAATAATGTAGCTCCATCTGCAACTATACAAATCAGCTCCTGAACCTGTAGCTAAAGTATTTTTAATTGTAAGTAGTACAAGTGCTCTGAAGCGTAACTGTAAGGACCAACCTTTAAAGGAAGCGTCTGAAATATGGCAACAATTCATGCTGGATAGAGATCGTTGTTCTAATCATGAACGCATCGCGCGATTATTTTGTTGTTTTTTTTTTTGCTTGAATGATTTGTAGTAAAAACGAAGGACAAACGAAGGAATCATGGCACGTTATAGTTTTATTTTGGTTCATCGCAAGATTCAAGCTTTTTTATGCATCATTTGTAATGTGAAGTGATCATTTTGTTTCTACTCCTGTCGACTTCTTGCTACTTTCTTTTTACCCTCTTGTTATCTTCTCGTTTCAGATAAAACATCTCCTTGAAGCTGGGATAGGAAATCCTCAAGACAGACTCTGCATAGTCATCAAGTTCATTATCAACGCAGACGTCATGACGTCAAAGTTTATTATATTTGCAGTCAGATAATGGCAAAGTAAAATCGTTCATAAGTCATCAAATGCTAGCTGCAAGAACACACGTTTTATTTGTTGAAATCCGCGAAAAAAACAGGAAAAATCCAAGAACTGAGTGTACAGTTTTTAGCATTCTTTTCTTTTTCCTCTTTTTTTAATTAGCAAGACAACGCCAGGACTGAGACGGGTTGTTCGGCAAAATCACGACTCACTAAAGTACCGCAAGGACTGCCATTCAGTTCGGCAACACTCAACCTGGAATCTAATTACAAAAATAGTGGATGTCAGTAAACAATAACAACAATTGTATTGTGAAGGTGTCAAACAACGAACACAAAAGAGTTGACCAAAGAGCAAAAACTATACATTCATAAGCATAATACTAGTAGTAGGAAACACTTCACAGCGACTCTGTGAATCAATAAAAATTTTATTAGTTAATAAAATCAGGGCTGCTTGATAGATATCACAGCGACTTTGTGCTAACCGATGCAGTCACTAACGAGATGGCAACACTGCTGTAATCACGAAAATTGAAGCACATCTTGTCACTACTCTTGACTCGTTGAGTTCGATTACGATGGCAGGATAAGTGATAAACGAAAATTTTCTGCGCTCAGACCAGTCTCAGTTTTACTGCCGGAGTTCGACTATCCGAGGTGGCCGGCGCCTACAATTCACTAGATACACCGCGTTCTGTATCATCTACGTTGTGCATTCGAATTTTGGTTCTCTCTTTGTGTCACTGAAGTTTGGACATAGCGGAATGACTGAGAATGTCTGTCGGCTGTTATTGTCAGAAAAGGCTGAACGCGACTTACTCAAGACACCTAGTCTGCCGTAGCGTTTGATTCTACAGGATTCTGGAGATCCCATGGGCCGTTCGAATAGGGGGCATAGTTGGATAACATTCATACTGAGTGGTTCTTGGACTACCCGGGCATTGTGGCCAAATGGTTGGCTATATCAAGGAGGGTTTAGGAAGGGAAAGAGAAGTGCCAGAGGAAAGGAAGGGAACGACGTTTCGAACAAACGGTATTCTTCAGGTTGTCCCCCTTTTAGTATACCTGAAGAAGATTGTTTGGTCGAAACGTCGTTCCCTTCCTTTCCTCTGGCACTTTTCTTTCCCTTCATATCCCTACTAATATACTAACAGTGCCCGGCAGAACCCCACATCTTCAGATATCAAGGAGGTGCCATATCCATACTCAGCAATTATATGGGCCCCTGTTTTTTTTTTTTTTTTAATGTCATACAATGGTGGAACACACTAATCTTACATTGTCTTCTGACCGGTTGGGCGGGTTTTTCAGGTGATCGCCTGTGTGAAGAGTGTGCCGTACGCTTTCACTCTGTGGAGTCATGAGGGCCTCTTTGTTCCTCCCTGTTGCTTGGCTTTCGGATCTGTCATGAGTATACCCTCCCCTTTCTCTCACCAGAATGCAGCGATATATTGTGCTTTGTTTTGCAGTTGTGTTGATGTTTTTTCTAGGCTGTATTGATCCCGTGTACCATGGGCAAAAATGATGAACTTAGGAATGATATAGAGCTTGAAGCTGGACTCACGTGCAGCAAGGTAACACTTTCTGCAGATGGTCGAGTATCTCAAATGTGGTCTCGTCCTTCATTTTATATAAGAAAGAGCATCTTTTGAACAATCGATAGCCTGAAAGGAACTTCGATGTTGACAAGGAACGCCAAGACGTTTTAAAGCAAATCACAGGTATCTAAAGTCAAGGGTAACAAAAAAAAAAAAAAAAACTCATTTGAGCTTTGTGCTTAATCCATTTGTGTTCCTGGAGGGTCTGCTAATGCGCAAAATATTGTAAACGCGAGTGCTAAACTACTATGCTACAAAAACTCCAAGCGCTCGACAGGGATGTCGTTTTACTATGACTATACAGATGCAAGTCAGCAGAACATCACGCAGTGTGTTGCTTCAAGATAAATGTGGCGTATCAAAACTAAAACTCTTCATTCACTTGTCTTGGCGGCGCATATGTGTTAGTTAGAAAGACTGACATCTTTAGACGACACATCCAACACGTGTTGTCCTTTCTGGCTAACGATCGTCAAGAGATGACAACACTGTCCCCATTGCATTGTCACACCGAGACTATAGATCGCAAATAGTAGCAGAGCTGTTTGTACATTTGTGCGTGACAGATAATATATAGGTTAATAAAGTTTATGTCGTATTCTTTTTATAACACGTTCCCAGGTGTTCATTCTTACAATAGCTATATACTTTGTTTCACCATGAACAAAATCGCAGTCAAAGGCTCTGCGTAGCGCAAGTTCGTCTGCTTCTTTTGCGGGGGTTGTGGTGACATCAGAAAGCCGAGCTCTGATTGGCTCTGATTGAAGGATAGTGGGGAGATCTCAATGGCAAGATGCCTTGAGGTCTACCCACTATCCTTCAATCAGAGCCAATCTGAGCCCGGTGTTCCGACGTGCAGCACAACCCCTACAAGAGAAACAGACGAACTTGCGCTACGCATATAGTCACAGAGAGCTCAAGAAACGCACGGCGTGGCGAGCCTTGGCATTTCTTTATCGCTACGCAGCCAATGAGACCAATTGGAAGATAAGAAGGGCGAAGTCACACCCTGCGTGTTTCAAGCTGTCGGTGACTCTGCGGAAAGCGAGTTCGTCTGCTTCTTGCGGAAGGGTTGCATGCCTTCAGAGCGCCGAGCTGTGATTGGCTCCGCTTGGAAGGATAGGGGGAATAGAGCTCAAGGCAGCTCTATGCCTACTATTTACTATCCTTCCAATATGAATCAATCAGAGCTCGGCGTTCTGATGTTACCGCTTAACACCTGCGCAAGAAACAGACAAACTTGCGTGGCGCGTAGGAGGGGTACATACAGATATATTGATCTGCAAGGTCATGGGTGCATTCACTGTTCTTGATTGGCTGAGCCGTATGTAACGGACGCACAAGATGGCCAATTCTATGATGTTGCAATTTTAAAGCTTGGTTGCTTAACGGGGGAGGTCATTTGACCAGGGGGGTAGGCGAGGAGGAGTGACGTGGGCGAGGAGGAATTTGACCACCTGCGAGCACTGAGGGAGAGCATCTTGAGAGTTTGGAAGGCTCTCAAAGATCGCCAGGTTTACCAGCCCGATTAGTGGTAGTATCGCTTCATTCTAGGACCAACTATCAAGTGCACATGGCACGCGTTAAACTATTTGATGAAGAGTGCTTTGAGAGTATCGCTAAATATGGTGGGATGTTAGAACGTTTCAGGGATATGCAACACAATTGCCTAGCAATTCGCCATACATTTCTTTTATTGGCCCTGTCCGCTCGCAGAGTGGGCTGCGCTCTTACGATGAAAGTAGGCGTAGCAAGTTAAAGTGATACAGCGTTTTAAGCTTTTGTTTCCGCCTTCTTTATAAACTTGTTGTTTTAGGCTTGTCATCGAATGCAAGACGAATGATTATTTTCCCTTTGCGGGGGTCTATGTGCCGCACCAATGAAGGGCATCTGGCACGCTTCACAGGGTGCAGAGTGGTAATTGACAACCATCCATGTTGACCGGGACTTTCATTCTTACAGAGGAAATAGAACATTTGGGCAAGCACAAAACCATGCCAGTTTTTCCATGTTTCCCGTGCGCGTTCGGGCCCCGCTGCCTTTGTTTTGGCAACTTCTTGATTCCTTAGACGTATAAATAATCGGGCTGCGTGACAGAACTTAGGCAAACGTGTCCGTGCGGTTTATTTGTGACGGGCTGTCGTCCTACGGCTAACTGTTGACACCACTTGTAAACTCCTGTCAATCGCATCCTTTGTTTCTCATACTGTGTTTGCAATCTTTTAAGATTTTCGGCTGGTTTAGTGTCCACCACTTAAACCATAAATTTTATTAGCATCGCTGCTACACAGCTGTAGATACATTACAGGCCGCCATTATAGCTAGAACTGCTGCACATGCGTAAAATACGTCACTATGGGCACAGGATTCTCAAAAAGTGTTATGTATAAACGACCTCCAAAAGTTTAATCAAAATGCCACCCATGTTCAACATTTTTTTTTTTGTTTTCTATAACAAAGGTTTTGATCAATTTTGAACGACCCTTGTAGATCACCTGGCCATCTTCGACTTACGATCCAAATCTCATTTACAAGTTGCCTTTGCCACAACAAGCGTCCAGCAGATCGCAGCACCTTGCCTCAACTGTAAAAGACGGCAGAAAACTGCGGTGGAAGTGAAACTATGCGGAAGTCAGCAAACTCCGGCTGCAAACAGGAACATCAAAATAAAGACATACCCTTTCCAAACCTGCCAATGGCCATGGTGCATCGTGCACCCCAACCCCGGAGCGCATAGGATTTGCCCATGGAGTAATACGGAAACACATCCCTGGGTCTCTGGGTTATCTTAGCTCAATATTTCTGGGCCCAGCTGGAGCCATTCCCTTTCCGTCGTTGAATCCATTAAAAAAAAAAGCCTCTTTTATTTATGAAGTTTGAAAGAACAAAATAACCCGCAAGGACACAAAAACCATGTTCATGGTAGAAACCTGGGAGTTCTTGGAGTGAACTGAATCCTCCGCAGCTGCGGTCACTGACAAGACAAGAGCAGCAGGGCGTCTCTTTCGAACTCCCAGCCTCCAGCATGCGCTCGTTGCCTTCTACCGTGCTTTGGCCGTGCGGTGCACGCACGATGCACTCACAAAGCACCGAAACGTTGTCGAAGGTAGGACGCTCGCGCTGCAGGCGGGACGACTGAAAGGCCTTCCTGACGTTCTCACCCTGCTGTCAGCGACTAGAGCAAAAGGGGATGTCCTTCTTTCCCCCTTCTGAAATACAATGATGTACACGTTTCAAAGCCTGTCTTAGCTCTATCATGTACCGAGGATAAAACATGAAAAGAAACTTCACGTACCTCATGCTCTCCGCGTACGTTTATTCTGCGCGAGCAAAGGTTCTACAGCATTAACATTGGTGGAGCTAACTGATTCGTACCGGTCACTGAGAACGTGACGTGTAGCACCTTCGATATTGGCCCGTGAGTCAAGTAGCCAACAGGTGGCTGCTAAATGCTCACACAACAACCACTTAGCGTTTCTCTTCTCCTGAACAAATGAGAAAGAAAAAAAAATGAAAGACGTTTACAATTCTCTGCAATGCCGAATGAGAACACGGCTCTTAAGGAGGAGGAGGGGAGGGTATGCCCCTCTTTCCCCCACCGTACCCTCCCCTCCTCGTCTCCTGCTCCCCCCCCCCCCCCCCCCCCCCCCGTTTAGCAGGAAATTTTTGGTAAATTTTGCGGGAATTTTTTTTCGTTAAATTTAGTGGTAAAATTTCCCCGCTAAATGTAGTGGGGAAATTTTCCCACAATGCAACTTGCGGTTACGCCCGATTCCATTATTCCCATGATGCAACGCGCGCGGTTACGCCGACGCCGACCACGACGACGCTCAAGCCGGAAACGGGCGCCTAAAGGCTGCGCTTTAAACAGAAAATTATACGGGGAGTGGCCAAAAAAAGCAATCCCTACGTCTCTTTTCTTGTTTATGGGCTAACCCATTCCTTGGAGGGTGACGTAGCACAAAGCAATGTCTGAATAAACATATTATTATTATTAAAACATGCTATTTGCTTTGATTTTATTTTTTAGATGCATAGTTCGTCCTTGCAATGATAAGTGAATGTTTTTAATGCTTACCTTTATATTATCCCCTGTCAGCGAAGAAGGCATCCTGCATCGCTTGGGGTGACAGAGAACAACCATAGTCACTGGCGTCTTCAGAAACGTCGGGCGCCCTTGCAATTGACTATAACTAGAAACGAATCACCAAGCCGTTCTTATTTCAGTATAGGCGATGCACACCAGCAACCTTAGGCTTCATTCAGCAGCTCGATTACTGTCGTGCCTTCTCGAGTGGGACCTGGTGTAGTTAAAACGTTTAAAAAAAACAAAAAAAAAAAACATTAACTACTTCCAATTTTGTAGTGTTGTGAATTTTGGAACACTAAAAAAAGTAGTAAACGCGGTGCAAGGTGAAGGCAATTTAGTCAGACTAATCATCACAATGTCACGCATGCATAATCCGCGATTGCGGCTTTCACAAAGTAGATTTTTCAGCTTGCGCAGATTAATCTTTACACTGCCTACAGACATAAATTTGTGGTAAGAAACGCGTGCGCATCATTCAAGGCGTTGAGACGTTCAAACCTTCCCGCGAATCGCATTCAAGCAAGTCGCAGCCCATCGCAGAGTTGGAGGTCACTCCATGTCACTCTGGTTGTTACAAATTGCCCTAGATGGCGCCACTAAACAAGTCTCTCAAACGGTATCCGATCTACAGGTCTACACGCCCTTGCGTCATAGAACATAAACTTCCTATAGACACCGTTGGTCAAATGGATCAAACCTCTTCGGGATTGATCTATATGGAGCTGTCTTTTTCACACCGAATTGATATATTTCTGTTGTCGGCAATTGTGAGTTATCTTTCCAGAAATAAGAAAAGAAAGAAATCTTCTGGCTTTGCTCCGTCTTCTCATTAATTCAATAAAATGCCCCGATGGCCCACAATTAACAATACTTTTTCCACACCTTCCTGAAAAAGGGTCCAGTTGCTTCCACTGCACCATTATACAGTTCGAGATTTTATGCATATTACTTTCTTCAGGGCAACATTTTTGTTTTAGTATATAAAAACGAATCAAATAAACCCCTATCCGCGCCTTCGTGCTAACTTTCAATGTCCTAGATTGCGAACTCATGTTCTAGAATTTGTTTTAAGTTAGTCATCGAGAATCATTTAAGCGACCACGCCAAAAGTGTCATACGAAGGCTGCAAATCGCCGCCTTCGTAGTGGAACCAATTTAGAAGAATCCATAGCTTTAGAGATAACTGCCTGTATTTTTATCCACGCGCTGCCTTCCACGAAGGAAGCTCGCTGAATGACAGGGCTAAAAACATAATAAACATTAAAAAAAAAGAAAAAAAAAACATTATGCGCTTTGACATCGAGCAGGACATTCCAGCATATGATGCATCATGCTCGGGAAATGTTTTTGTAGCTCTACACATAATTTCAGCCTTGTCGAACAATTGGATCTCCCACATGTTTCGCGGGAATGTAGATGCACTGGATTTTTTATAGTGCAACGTTTAAAAGTCTTCCCCCATAACAAATTTGAACGCTCCTTGAGATTTTGGTTTGGATAGGCTAGTACAGCTCGGGGCG